TAAGAGGTTAGGTTAAATAGCTCAGTCAGCTCATTGAGCGTAATTGTGCCTCGACTTGATATGAAAAGATATTTTGAGTGATAAATATACAGCGAGTGTTGCAACGTTGGTTCAAGTGATTTTACCCAGCATGTGATGATGCTTTATAAATTGCAGATCAAAATCGCCTGACAAAATTTCTCATGGAAAAACTCCATAGTGTTTAGAAGCAATGCCTTCTCCATGAAAATGAAAGATTTGAAAGAATCTCCGACGTTGAATTCAAACTTGTCAAAGCAGAACATGATTTTAAAATTTTCATCACAAAGTTTTATCAAATACGATGGATATCTCAAAAATATGCATTAAACCTGGCTGTAAATTGGAATTCATAATTGCTTTTTCCTAGCAAAGAAAGTCTCTAATCCTGTCCAGGTGCTCGAGAAAGACCTTCCCTTTATCTGCTCGATTGTTTTCAAGCCCATTCGAGATGTTTAAATTCCTCGTGATGTCGAATCAAAGCCGCGTCTTTTGCCTGACGGATTTTATTATTACAAGAAATCATTGGTTGATTTCAATCAGAAAAAACTCCTGCAATATCCTGTTGAAGCAGCCCACGTGATAAACAACTGAAAATGCGCTATGTAACGGAACTACTTACTCCAAAAATAAACACTTTTTCACCCTGTGCGTCAATGGAGCATTGCTGACCGTTATCATTCCCTTTGATGAAGAGCAAAAGCCCGAAACGACAGTTTACAGTAAAGTATTTCAACGTGCCGTTCGAGATACCAGCAAAAATGTTATTCCAGATCAGTGTAATGCCTTCAAGAGGGAAATGGTATCTCCCTTAAACTAAGAGGAACAGTATTCGTCTCCTGGGGAGATTTCGAGCTCTAGTGTGAAACTGACGAAGATCCCTGTTAAAAAAAGATTCGTGAAAGCTAAAAAAAACTGGGATTAGCCAGTATTTCATTTGATCCAGACAAAAACTTTATTACGTAAAACCGTTAGTGTCTCATTATGAATCATTTACTTGAGAGCATAATCTGAGTTGTTTATCACGAAGCATGACAACGGGAAATTCTGCTATTCTCTTTCCTCCATCCATATCTCCTGAACTTCTTTAAAGCACTTAATATTTCCTACCCTCCTCTCTAGTCCTCTGTGGGTTGGTGATAGAGCGTCGCAGCCGTGCGACATCGCAACGTCTTTTGGGTTTGAGTCCTTTGAGGTGACTTCGACGTGAGCGTTAAAAAATCGTATCACCCCACCTTTATGTGTTCCACGCCTGAGCTCAGAAATTATATTCTTTCTTACTATTACTCTCTGTGCTGAAAAAAAAAATTAGTGATCGCGCAAAGGATGAAGGGATTTTGCAGGAGGCTTTGCTTATAGTAGTTGATCTTCTAAAATTAACCGCAACCTAGTTGCAAGGGCACGGCAAAGGCAAGGGTAACAGTCACAAACTCGAGAAGCTTCAACTTTTTGTTAAAGTTTCCTTCTTGGCCGAAAATTTATCAGCATTAGTTTCGTCCTGTCTTGATTTCATAGCATCAGACTGCAAGCTGAAATCGCCTTTTATCGTTCAAAAACGAAAAACAGTTGAAGGTATATTGTTTGAAGGTGTTGGAAGTAAACCTTTGAATTGATCAGGCCTTGATTTAACCCCAACGGGCTCGGCCTAAGGCTCAGGGTGATTTCAATGTGGAAACCTCCAATTCCAAGTTCCTTCTACATATCACTATCCTATTATTCTCCTGTCTGATCCTCAGACCCTCGACTGAACTGTATCTGATCAACTAAAGCAAATTTCAGCTGTTGCCAATCTTTTATAATTGAACGACATTTGCGCACTGAACTTGCTCAGGTCTGCATTTGGATATCGTACGCGTGCTTTGAAATCATTCCCGGCTTTTGTCCATGCTTAATCTGCAATTTTCCTCGCTTCATCTGATCTTAGTCATGCAAGTCCCAAGGGATAGAAACTCGAAGAGTTAAACAATTTTTATTGCTTTTTTCACCAAAATGATTTTATTGATAATTTTGGCAAATTCGAATGATCACGGTTCGCTCCGAACTTCTCGGTTAATCAAACTATTCAGAATTTTGACTCTTTATCTCTATAACTCATGGTATAATTTGAAACCAAAGAGAGATATATCGATCTTCGACAGACAAAGCAATGCAAGTGTTGAAACAATTCTTTCAAGCAAATACACTCTTGAGAGCCCTGTGAAAGCCCACAGGAAAATAACAGGTGAAGGCAGAGGATTTAAAGTCACAATGAATCATTTAATGGCAGGAATGGTAATCCTTAATCCCTACAAAAAGAATTTTAAACTTGATAGAGATATTTATTTTCTCCTCGGGATTGATCAGCGTTTGCAAGAGAGAAATCTCACTGGTCGATTTACTTCTCTCAACACTAACCTTTTCTACTGTGATCTTTTGGACAAGGATGAAAACCTATTCAATGAGGAACCCACAAGGGTTCTTGGTTGCTTTGACATCGCTGAGAGCCAGTTTGAAAAGGTAGACTATTCTCCACCGTATCCTATGTTACGAAAAATATCACGAAGGAAGGATATCACATCCATACGAATTTCGTATCTCGTCAGAATAAGGAGATCATTAATTTCAATGGTATGCCAGTGAGGTTTGATTTAGAGATACCATTTCTAAAATGTCTGCTGAAAATATTATGCTAAGCCCTTCGGGGCAAGAGCAGATTGGGACGCTTCGCGACCCTTAGCATGAGGTTCTTGGGAACGAAGTGCCTCATGGCCCAAGCCTTGAGCCAAGCGCTCCAAAACTTTATCCAACAATACCGGAGGATAATATTACAATTCGGGAAGATTATAGAAAAAAAATCGATTGAAGCATCAGAAAACAATTTCAATCGGTGAGGCAAAACACCTTGCGATCAGTAGTTTGTCTTCAAATGCAGTGTAAGATGGATGAATCTCTGATGTTGAGTTGGACTTGATTTTGCGTGAGATCGAACAATATTATTCATTCAAAAACCAGCTTAGGAAAAAAGAAAACGAAGTTGATGTTGACACCATTAAGAAGCAGATTAAAGAAGGATTTAAAAAAAAAGATTAGAATCACTCATAAGTCACTAGAGACACATTATGATTATAGTTCACCTGTGAAAAACTCAAGTTGTCTTGAAATCAATGTTGTTTTCAAAATGTGCAAAAACTGTTTTTTATAATCAAAGTTGATTTGAAGGTTGACATATAATCAATGTTAAAATTCATGAGTTGCCTTGAAATCAAGGTTATTTTTAAAATGTGCCAGAATCGCCCTTTTCTAACTACTCGGGCAGATAGTTTCCACGATGAAGGTCTGAGCTGTGGAGTACGAACCATTACAAGTAAAACGAGTCGTTGCGTTTACATTCGTTGTTGGTTAAGCATATTTTGACGAAAAGCTATTTCAAATCACTCCCCGAAAGCAAAATGGCCTTTTTAACCATAGAAGTTCAAAAGAATGCTTACCTGACCTGCGGCCCACTTTGGCTTAGTTTGAGACTGGTTTAATGCAGTGATAACCTGAGTTTTCAACTCTTCTAACGGTTTTAACCCTTTCGATGAAATATTAAGGGCCTTCATGATTTTAAACATTCCATACAGATCATTGATTTCATAGATAGTTTTCGTTGAGCCACAAGCCATAGTATCGAGTTTTCACTAGCTGGGAACACATCGAAGAGGCGAAAAAGACTTGAAGAGCTTCAGTTGATCGTGGGGAGTATTTCATAAACGGATGCTTATGTTATTGTTAATCGTTCATGCATGAGTACAGTTTATTGCCAAGTGTAAACAAAGCACGAGGTCTCACTTCTGAGAAAGTTAAGGTTTTTTTTAGTGGTTAATATATCTTTATCTTTAGATTCGTTTATTCATCTCTTTATTTCTTTTTGCTTGTAGAAGTTTTATTCTTCCCAGAGCAGAAAAAAGTAAATTTGGAGATGTATTTCTCATCCAGTTCCAGACGTTATATGATTAGTGTAACAAACGTGCCTGACAGCGAGCAACTTATCTGAACTCTCTCGCACTCTTGCTACCAAATCAATGGCAACAAATTCAAAATAAATCAATTCAGTAAAACAAATCGTACTCAAAACCTTAGCACGAAAATTTTAAAGCTAAGTTTATAAATGCTAGAGTCTTGAATTTGGCTTGGACTTTTATATTCCGTGTATGTAGGTGAGGTTAATCCTGTTAACATTTTGGACTAGGACGCGACGCAATTCCGGGAAATGAGGCGCGACGTGGAGTTGTAGCTTTGTTATTAGTGTTGAAATTAAGAGGAATCATTTTAAACCAATGTTTACTGGTTGTATTTACAAACCAGGGAACCAAAACTTAGATTAATTTATAACTGAGATGGATGAAGGTTGCTCAAACTGTAACCTCGAACGCTAGAAACTGATTTTACTAGGAAAATTTAGCGTTGATTGTAACACCACAAACAACAACACGCAAACTTCAGGAATACATCTAGATACGATCTCAGCCAAATAGTTTCTAAGCCTGTTCGTGTCACTGGGAATTCAAAGACTACAAAGGACTTAATTTTTGTGAATCATAACCATCTCATTATTTAGTCTGAAGTTATTCTTTAATCTCTTAGTGACCACAACTGGATTCTTTGGGTTTTCCAAGCAGGTGTTCGTAAATTTCCAGCTAAAGTGAACCAAATATTTAGTTACCCGTTAAACGCACAAGGAAGATGGATGTTTACTAATTCTTTACCACGGGTACACATTTTTCCCCGATTTCTCAAAGAAAAGTTTGAATATGCTCCTGGTTTTTTTTCCAAGGTAGCCGTTCATCCATATATTCCATATATATTTGTCAGAGATGGGTGGAGAATAGCTGCTCTGGTGGAGAGGCATAACGTCATCCAAGGAATATTGCAAGATTCTATCATTTTCTTTTTTTATGGAAATTCAGAAGGGTAGGTCTCTATCTATCTATTACTTCACCTCGGATATGGCTTCTTTTGCATAAAGTTCTTTAGCTTTAATTACTGCAAGCGACACAGCAGGTCGGTTGAGAGGAGGGTTTAAGCAAACAGGAAGAAATGTAAGTTTACATGATAACTTTCGTCTATAGCAGTTATTTTTGTTGGAAAGAGAGAAATCTTGATAACAGGTCATGACTGAACGAGGTGTTTTTTGCCCAGACAGTTGTAGCTTCGTGATTAACATACATTCAGAAATGATCTAAATAACCGCCAATGTTGTTCAAGTCTTGTTCCCATGCTTTTTGAAACCAAACGGCCAATCTACTTTGTAAGTGAGGCAAATTCTGAATTCATGACTCCATGTTTCTCGGCCGCAAGAGCTTCAGAAGTTGAAAGGCGGATAATTTGAGAATTTATGTCGACATCTGGCAAACACAGACTCAACTCGTTGATTATGTTTGCCATGACCGCATTTCCCTCTTGGGTTGGTAGTGTGTCCCACTTGCTGCAAAAGGGCAAAGTGCAGTTTTGTCAGAATTCCATTTGCTGTTCAGTCGTGAGTTTCCCCGTTTTATGCAGAAATTGAACAAGCTAACAAATGAGGAAACAAACTATATAAAACGATTCTATTAAAAAATAGGGCTTCAATGATAGCTTTTTGGGCTCCCTAAGCTATCTACAAAAATTGTTGTTTAATAAATTGATCGAGCACTGATTAGGAGTTGAAAATATTTGCAAGTAGTCATTTCAGAAGGTATCAATTATTACTCACCCAACTCCGAACTCTGAACTCCGCCGGCATTGCTGCTTTTGATGACATAGATGAAAGCAAAGGCAATGTCGTCCATAATATCTGACTCCCCGACTTCAGGGCTGTCAAAGATCACAAAACCATCCTAGTGTGGAAACAGAGTAAGTAAGTTTATTTTCTCCATGTAATTCTCCTTACAACTCGGCGTTAAAACCCCCAAAGGGTTCGTGAAAT